GGCCGGCCGCCCTTGTGGACGGAGTGACAGGGTGACGAAGGCGGCAGGCCGGGCCTGGCTGCTTGGTGGGCCCTCCTCAGTGTGCTGACTCGAGGCCGGGGACACGCATCTGGTCGTGGGCAGCTGTTCCGTGTAAGGCTGGTCATTGGCGCTCTCGTGCCCGGGAAGCGTCGGTGAGCGGACGTTCACTTGGGCCGCCAAGCTTATCTCGGGAAGCAGCCTCTCTGGCCCCACGTTGGTTAGAGAGGCTGAGGTGGGCCTCTAGTGCCCAGTGACCTCAGTGACCTCGTGGGACTGCTTAGATTTGACGGAGTCCTCGGAGAGCAGTGTCAGAAGTAGATTGGCTGCTCTAAGATCTGGCTTGTCACAAGGGCTCCTTGGTTGTGACTTGAAACGAGAAACCACCACACATGCAGCCCACTGCCGTGGAGTTGATCTCCATGCATAATGACCCTATAGGACAGAGTAGAGTGCCCCAGAAGGTTTCCTAGGCTGTCATGTTTACGCAGCACACTGCCATGTCTTTCTCCCAAGGAGCAGCTGGTGGGTTTGACCCATAGGCCTTGAGTTAGCAGCCAAGCACTTAACCAGTGCACCACTAGGGCTCCCTGATGGTTTGGACATAGAGCCAGCCGCCTGTTCTACAGCAGAAAAAATCAGCAAATGGAACCTTTCAGGTGGGTTTCCAAAGCATGCTATCAAATCGACCATGTTCTGGGCAGTAGCCTGAGTCACAGGTTGTAAATCTATGCAGGATGGGAGCCAAAATATCACAACTAATGGTATCAGAAGCTGCTGGAGGAGTTGCAGTTTCAGTCTCATGGGACACCGAATCTGTGACCAGGCCAGCTCATACATGGTGGCCTCTTGCTGTTCTAATGAGACAGAAGACTACGTTTTCAAAAAGCACATCATTGCCACATCGGTGTGGTGAAGATGCCTTTTTCCTCTTGAAGTGATATTTTCCTTTTGCTTAGGGTATTCTTTAAATCACTCTAGAATAATCAGTGGAAGAGTAGGCAAGAGAGCAGGAGAAGATGACACAGTAGATCAAGGAGTTAGCCAGGAACCTGAAAGCGGTCCTGGCCCTTTTACCGGCTCTTGCCATTGTCCTGTGTTTGGAGGCTTTCCCCTCAGGGCACTCAGTCATCATCTTGCAGAAAAATATCAAGTATCATTTAATGGTGCATGCCTTTCCTTCCCATCTCGATGGCGAATCCTGATAGCTCTGTCATTTGGTGAGATGGATACACAGCGCGTGAGGGAGCCCAGTTCTCGGAGACACTGCCTTTCTGTGGTCTCTGCTTGCTTGAATGGTTCTCTTTCCATTGGAGTGAGTTTAAGGTTAATGAAAAGCCAAATCTCACTCCACTGATGTTCTCTCCCAGGACTGAGAGGGTTCTCCACACAGAAATGGGTTTTGGAGTCCCCCTCAAACCAGCCCTTCCCTTTGTAGCTGGAGAAACCTGGTGGGGACAGAGATGTGAAGGTCATGGTCCACAGAATCCCAGGTACCTTTAACCTTCTGACCGAAAACCAGGCATGAGAACAGTTGGGTGGATTCTTCCAGCTGCAGGGTTATCTTTTCCAGCCCTATGAAGGGGACCAAGCTTGTGAGTCAGGAGCAAGGGTGTGTCTTTGCAGATGGTTTTGAAAACTCTTGTTGCTGTTGTTGTTAGGTGCTGTCGAGTCGGACCCAACTCATAGCGACCCCTCCTTGGGTTTCCGAGGCAGTATCACTATGGAAGTAGGTTGCCCCGTGTTCCTTCCGAGGGGTGGCTGGTGGTTTTGAACCGCCAGCCTTCTGGTCAGCAGTCAAGTGCTTTAGGCACTGTGCTACCAGAGCTCCCACTGAAAACTCTGAACTTGAAAAGTTATATATGCACAAGCAAATTTGGACTGGGTCTTTCTCATCGGTAAACATTTTTGTTTTGTTCTGAGATGCCCCAGTTTACTTAAGAACAGGTCACTTCCCAGAGATTCTTCTACTGGAATTTTATTGGGGATCATGAACACAGCCCTTGAAAACCCAAAACCACACCCACTGCCTGGAGTCCATTCCCACCCACAGCGCCCCTAGAGGACAGAGTGGAACTGCCCACAGGGTCTCCAAAGGTGGAGTGCATACAGAAGCAGACGGCCTCAACTTTCTCCTGCTGAGGTGAGCAGCTGGTGGTTTGAACCATGACCTTTCGGTTAGTGGCCAAATGTTTTGACCACTGTGCCACCAGAGCTCCTTCGGCCTTGAACTACTTAATTAATCAGCATAGTGTTTGCACGTCTCAGGAAGTTTCTGTGCTGGACTGAGTAGTTGCACCTACTGTAATAGTAGACTGAGGAGCAATGTTGGCCAAGTCGGGCTGGTGCTCCATGAGCTGAACTGTCACTCACTGATGGATGACCATGTGACTTCACAGGCAGAGAGTGGGCGGTGTTTACAGCCTTTTCACTCGGTGCAGGAAACCCTGGAACATGTATGGACAGAGAGTTTTATTTTAAATGCCCTTGGGAATCACAGGGCAACTGTGGGAACGATATGTTGGTTGGATAGGAAACCTGGGATGCTTAACTGCCTGTTTGTATGGCTTGCAGGGTTCTTAGAGACAGGAGGAAAAGGCATCTGGGGGAGGATACCTGGATAGCCGCCATTCAGTGCAGTGATACTCATTTCCGTTTTTCAGCTCTCGTTTGTTCATTAACCATCTCTATACCAGGCCCTGGTAGACCTGATTGTGCAATGGCTAAAGTGCTCAACTCCTAACTGAAAGCATGCTGTTCTGTATGATGTCTTTTCCGGGGAACTGGTCTCTCCTGATAACATGTCCAAAGTATGTGAGAACAAGTCTTGTCATCTTTGCTTATAAGGAACATTCTGGTTGTACTTCCAAGACAGATTTGTTTATTCTTCTGGTAGTCTGTGGTATAGTCAGTATTCTTCACCAGCACCAGTTCTTTGGTCTTCCTTAGTCACTGTCCAGCTTTTGCATGCTTATGAGGCAGTTGAGAATACCATGGCTTGGGTCAGATGACTTGCAACAGATTTGCCTAATGAAATACGTCATTGGATTTCCTGATGTTACTTCCACGGGCATTGATTGTAGACCCAAATAAAATAAAATCCTTGATAATTTCAATCTTTCCATTTATCATGATGCTGCTTATTGGTCCAGTTGTGAGGATTTTCATTTTTTTTTTATGTTCAGGTGTAATCCATACTGCAGACTGTAGTCTCTGATCTTCATCAGTAAGTGCTTCAAGTCTTCTTCACTTCCAGCAAGCAAACGTGTGTCATCTGCATATTGCAGGTTGTTAATGAGTCTTTCTCCAATCCTTATGCTGCGGTGTTCTTCATATAGTCTAGCTTCTCAGATTATTTGTTCAGAATAAAGATTAAATAAGTATGGTGAGAAGGTACAACCCTGACACACAGCCTTCCTGTCGTAAACTATGCGGTATACCCTTGTTCTGTTGGAACAGCAAACAGCTGCCTTTTGGTCCATATTCAGGGTCTACATGTCTTAGAAGCTGATTAAAAAAAAAAAAAGAAGAAAAGTTTTGGGGTGGGAAAACAGAAACAGCTTACCTGGCTGTGTGAATATTACCGAATTATTTCAATACTCTTTGAAAGTGATACTCATTTTTTTTTTTTTAATTATTGTGATTTGGGTGAAAGTTTAGAGAGCAAATTCATTTTCCATACAGCAGCTCAGGTACACTGTCTCATGACATTGAGTGTAATCTCCCACAAATGTGACAGCTCTCCTCCCACTGCCTCCCCATAGTTACCTCTTCCCTGTGTCCTTCACTCCCATGCTTTCCTTGCATGAGCTGCCTCTATGCAAATACTGCCCTTTTGTTCTCCCAGGATTGATCTGATTGATTGATCTGAAATCATTCTAAGGAGTATATCTACCTGATGTAAATATTCACTCCATATGCCTGTCTTTTGTTTGACTGGAAGCCACAGGAGTGAGTTCAGTTCCAGGTAACTAGGGCCATGCCCTTGGACATCACACCAGATTCCATCAGACCAGTAAACCTGGTCTTTTTTATGATTTTAAGTTTTGTTCCTCATTGTTCTCCCCTACTATCTATGATTTCCCACACAGAACCCCCTATGGGTATGTGACAGTGGTAGCCAGGCACCATCTAGTTCTTCTGGTCTCAGAGTTGTACAGGCTGAGGACTGCACGGTCTCCCAGTCCCTTGGACTAATTGTTCCCATGCACCTTTGCTTTTCTTCACTCTGCTGTGGACGAGGAGAGACCCATCGTTGTATCCAGATGGCCACTTGCAAGCTTTTAAGACCCCAGTTGCTACTTACCGAAGTAGAATGTAGAACAGTGTTTTTGTGTAGTACGTTATGCCATTGTCCCAAGCCCACAGGTCCAACTACTCACTCTATTAGGGTGGTTAACTGTAGCTAAGAAGTAGTAACTTTGCCCTATTAGTTCTAGGTATAAGGACATTCTGATAGCACATACAAATCTGTATGAAATATTGCCTGCCAGCCTTATATATGGTCATGGGTATAGTCACTTTTGCCTAGACATACCTGATCTTTCAGCCTGTTTACCCATCCATTAAAGTTTGTTCTCACTGATAATGCAGTATTCTATATGTAAAAGGATTATCTTTGTTGTCTGTACCTAAGATACTCATTTTATTCCCCAGCCCAAATGACTGGCAATGGCATTGGGATAAATCCATCCTCATCATCCGTGGCATCCTGTTTCTGGAGCCACCAGTGCAAGCATCTTCTCAGGAAGTCCGTGACTTGGTCACGTATGTGCTGATCCCACGAGAAATGTCTCCTACCGTAGTAACTCCCGGTGCTTTGCTGACCTCTTGGTGGAAGGTTTTAGATTAGCCACTTAGAGTGTGTCTGTCTGTAAACCGTGTCTGTCCTGCCACCTTAGTTGTCGCTTACTCCGAACAGCCCTTGGCTTGTTTGTTCCCCTGCATTCCCACAGAGTGCAGTACAGTTGTTGACTTGAGAAATGACTGAGTGTGTTACGGGGGCTCTGGAGCACCTCCGGTGAGCGCTCAGCAGCAGAATGTGTGCTGTAAACTTGGCTTTAGGCACCAAGCAAATGGTTGGAAGCCCCAGCAGCAGCACCCTCCCCTCCCGGGCCCTTCTCCTCCCGGGCCCTTGCTTTCTGCCTGCAGCGCTGAGCTGGAAGAAGCCAGTCTCACCGAGCACTGTGTGCTTTCAGTGAACTCCTGTACCAACTTACCAAGTGATGGGAGCGCCACGGAGACTTGACAGGAGCGTTGTGGGTGGTAGAAGTCCTTGGAGGAATGACTGGAGTCCATCCTGCAGGCCGTTCACTGAGCTGATTCATCTTTGACTAACCCAAGGTCCCAGCCCCTTAACCAGGAGCTCCAGTGTTCCTGGCCTTGTGTTAGACCAGCTGAGAGAACCACATCACTGCAGTTTGGTTCCCATCTGTCTGTCTCGGCCTTGATGCCAGCGGTCTGGTCAGATAAGAAATGTGTCCCTGACTCTTGCAAGATGGACCCCAGCTCAGGATGCCGGAGTTCACATAGGGAGCTGGGTAGTGGACATGCAGGGAAGCGCGCTCTGGCCTGTCCTAATACCTGTCTCTTTCCCTTTTTTTGCAGAACAAAGAGTGGAAGATGTCCGCCTTATCCGAGAGCAGCATCCTACCAAAATCCCGGTAGGCAGCTTTAGCATGTGTTCAGCAGCGGGCAGCCCGCTTCTCGAGACCCCAGCCCGTGTAGCTTGCCTTGTCCTAATCTGGAGTTTGGTATTTAGAGTAACTGTCAAAGATGGGTTTTCCCTCTACCCGCAGCTCATCACTTCTTTCCTTACATCTGTGTTTGCTGCCTTGATGGCACACACTTCACCAATCACATGTACTCACTTGGGAGGAGAGGGCTCGGAGACTGGAAACCAAAACCAAACCCCAATGCCGTTGTGTAGATTCTGACTCATAACAACCCTCATTGGGCTTCTGAGTCAGTAGATCTTCATGGAAGTAGACTGCCTGTGGAGTGGCTGGTGGGTTTGAACAGCCAGCCTTCTGGTTAGCAGATGCCTTATGCACTGCATCACCAGAGCTGTTGGTATTTTAGGAATAGAAGTATTGGGCTAAGGGAGCAGACCAGTGTTGCAGGTCAAGGCTACCTTGGAGTAGATGCTGCAGGGACACCTGCTTTTTGGAAAAGCAGGAGGTGGAGAAGAGACTCCTCCCCTTCCGTGTCCCTGGGGGGAGCATCAGGTACTTCTTGTTGGGGCTGGCCTAGGCTTCCTCCCCACCATTGGGCCTAGAGCAAAACGGTCCAGAGAACCTGCGTTTGCTTTCAGACAGAGCTCAGGTCCAGTCCTCGGTAATACACGTCCGTGGTCTGTTTTCTGAAATTGTGTGAGAGGCTGCAAGTGCCTCAGCTGCACCTGAGAACCCCACCCTTGCGGTCACTACGAAGATCTGCATCAATTCTGGGTGCATGGTGTTCAGCTGGTATCAGCTGACAGACCTCCTCGTTCTGCTGACCACTTAGAAACCCCACCTCTCAGCTCTTGGGGAGCTCTCCCTTTAGGCTGTCTGGTTCTCTCATGCCCGAGAGGAAGGGGGAAGGTCTGCGATGATGGGGTGGGCACTGGAGAGGGGTGGTGCTGGTGGTGGTGCTCTAAGGCGGCTAGAAAGGTCAGTCTACTTGGCATGGTCCTGACTGTGACCTAAGAAAGAGACGCCATGTTCCATGTGGGTCGTGCCTGGTTGGAACGGTCACAGCCTGTCCTTGCATTTGGGGTCCTCTATCCTGGTCAGTCAGGCTGCATGTCCCAGACCTTCTGCCTGGGAAGAGACCATGCTTTCTCTGAGCCTTCCAGTGTGCAGGCAAACAGCCTTTTTTAAATACCCATGAGTGTTGGATAAGGCTTGAAGTAATGGGAAGATGTCTTGGGTTCTCTCTCTCCCCAGCCTGGTCTCCCAGGTTGTTGGTGTGGCTCAGACCATGCCCTTTTGGACTGGCACGTTGTCACCAATCCGTCCAGCATTATGGTGGTCCACCTGTATTGGCAGGAGAGAATGACTAAATCATCTTCAGGTTTTCCTTCACGCTCAGTGCTGCTTTGTCTCTCTGTAGACATGTGCCGACCACTGGGCACAGAGAGCCCAGCAGCGCTCAGCACGCATGCCTCAGGAGGGAGCTCTTGGGCAACAAGTCCGTGTGTGTTTGCATACCGTCCTGGCCTGTCCAGCTGCCCCAGAGCAGGCTGTCTCCCTTGTTTCCATTGTCAATGACTGAAATCAACACAAGTGTTGTCACTCTTCTGGCTTCTAGGTGATAATAGAAAGATACAAGGGGGAGAAGCAGCTTCCCGTGCTGGACAAGACCAAGTTCCTTGTGCCAGACCACGTCAACATGAGTGAACTTATCAAAATCATCAGGTACTTGGGCTTTGCTTTTCCTTGGGGTCACATCACATACTTGATCAGACTTCAGGTATGTTTTTAGGGTGGTTCTGCTTAAAATCTATGCACATTCAGGAAAACCAGAGAGCTAGAAACTGCTTCCTTTCTGAGGTTTGTCTCTTACCTGCTGGACCTTTTGTCCCTTCTGTGCTCCTTCGTAATATTCAGCCTTTATGTCATCTCTTGTTTATCAGGGAAGTGACAGTTACTAAGGTTTTGTGGAGGACTGTGGAATGCAGGCAGACTGCATCGTCCTAGGCCTTAGAAGAGGGTCTGAGCAACACTGGAGCTGTGCTGCTTTCCTGAGCCGCTGCTGGCGCTCCGAGCATTCCAGCAGAACGCGGGCCTCGGGCGTGCCCGGGGAGTTGTCTGCCATCGATGATAGCTAGTGTGGAGCGTGAGGGTCACCATGGGAAATGCCCTGTGCTCTATGGCACCGTTAGACTTGGCAGCAGTGGGGCCGGAGCCATGGTCCGGGTGGGTGATGTTTTCTTAACGTGCTTCAGATGTGAGATACTGAGTGGGCCTTGTGACATCTCGCCATCCTGTTCTTCGTTACGCTGTATCTCCATCAAGTCTTACAGAGGACACTGCTCACCATCCAGGTCGAGAAGACACTGACGTGAATCCGCAAGAGAATCTCCCCTTGCCCTTCCTCCAGGGGCTGGGGGGTAGCGGGTACACACAAGCCACAGGGCTCCATTGGTTCAGCACAGTGCCACCAACAAGAGCAATTTTATCACCCCTTTTCAGGCCTCATGGTTAACAGGTGACATGGCACCAAGTGGAACATGAAGCACTCACCCTGAAACAAGACCTCCCATACCAGGGAATCCCCACAGGCCCCGCCTACAGAAGCCCCTATGATGCGTCAGCTGAACTGATGGTGTCGGTCTGTCCTGTTGTTTCTTTCCACAGAAGGCGCTTGCAGCTCACCGCAAACCAGGCCTTCTTCCTGCTGGTGAATGGACACAGCATGGTGAGCGTCTCCACACCCATCTCAGAGGTGTACGAAAGTGAGAAGGATGAGGATGGCTTCCTGTACATGGTCTACGCCTCTCAGGAGACGTTCGGAATGGAATCGGCTGTGTAAGGCCAGCAAAAACGCATCTGTTCTAAAATTTCTAAACTCTTACCGAGGAAAAAAAAGGGATGTTAGCAGCTAGGATTGATGAGCTCACCCGGGCCTCAGGGCAGCATGTCCCCCCGGCAGTTCCAGGACGTTGTCCGGGGCTCATTTAAACTAGGCTACCTTGTTTGCAAATTTTAGACATTTAAAAATAAAATATTTTGCATTTTCAGTTGCTAGTGAAGTAGACCTTGGGGTCATTGTGATGTTCTGCCCTCAGCAGGGATGGGCAGCCCCCGCGGGACTGGGTCCTTCAGAGCCCCGTCTGTTCTCTAGGCTCAGCGCCTGCCCGCTGTCCAACCACCAGACCCATCTCCACCAGAGGACCTTGGAGAGCACGTGCTGTCCCACATCATGCCCCCACACTCATTTGCCACTGTCCCTGGTGCAAAGCAGGGTGAACTGCTTGCTGTCCGTGCTTCCTGGGTCGTCATGGGAAGAACACCCACAGGCGACTCTTTGCAGTGCTAGAAAGCTTAACAAGCAAGCTGCCTCTCACCTGTTCTCTGGACAGTTACAGAAAACCACCATCTCGAGTTTCTAATTTTGGCTTCACCCCAGAGAGGAATGGAAAGACATTGCTTCTGTTTTAGGCTTTTTCTGACCTGAGAACTCAAACCAGTGTGTGGTTTGCTCAAAACCTAGCAGTTCATCAGTTCCATCCATTAGAATGTGGGGGGTGAGTAGAATACGAAACCGCGGAAGCACTGAAAATTCGGACACAACCCACGCTCAATCTGTGTGATAGGTTACGTGTGACTAAAACATGCTCCCGAAACTCCCCACATTTTTAAGAGTACTTTGGTGGTCACTGTCACAGAACCCACCAGCTTACGTGTGTGCCACTGGGGGGAAAAGACAGTAGGAGATGTGTGCTCGCTGTAGGTGGTGGCGTCGAGAGTAAAAGCTTCGAGGTCCAGCCTAGAACAGATGGCGTAATGCTCCCTGCTCCATGTGTGGGCTCGCTGTGTCTGTCTTCACAGGGAGCATCCCTGAATGACCAGTCCCTGACGCTGTGTGTGGCAGGTCAGCATTCATCCTTGTGTATTCGGTGTGTGTGGGAGCCCCACTGTTAGCGACCGTTAGCTAGTGGGGGAAAACCACTGTGTATTGGGAGCGTGATCCCCACCGTTAGCAGAGCCCACCCCGTAACCTCCCCTTGACCCCGCATGCGGCTGTCCATAGCACCCACTTCTGATCTATGTATTTTTGCCACATTCTGTGAATTCTTAACTATCCTGCCTTGTTTAGGTTGTATGTGTTGTTGTATCTGATTCTTGTAACTACTGTGTGATCAGTAAGAGTCCTGTAAGAAACTTTCTTGGGGAAGGGAAAAAAAAAAAACATGCTGAGGGGGGTGATTTCAATCCCCCATGATACTAGCAGGCTGTCACTTTGTTTATGGATCTTTGAAAACCTTTTCATGAACTCTGGTGAATAAAGGCACAAGGAAACTGAGCAGCGTGTCCATGGGTCTGGGTCTGTGTGAGGCTTGATTCTGGCAGGCACTGGTCAGCCTAGTGGTCAGGCTGTCCTCATGAGGGGCCCTCAAGCTCGTCTTGGGGTGTCGGAGCACGTGCAGGAGTGGGTAGCGACTTCTATGCCTGCACCTGGCTGGGGCCTTCCTCACTGGTTGAGCCTCGACAAGCTCTCCCAAGAACGCTGGGTATGCCCTGGAGCATGAGGGGCAGACAGGACCTAGGGGCTCTGGGGGTATAAATACTTGTGCCCTCCTGTTCTAAGTCCGTAACAAAGGAAGACAAAAGAGGCAGGGAGAAAAAGGGTGTGTGCGCACGCGACGTCAGCATCCCTGGGGTCCCGGTGCCCTGACCGGGGAGCAGCCGTTCCTGCTAACGCTGTGGGGTGTGTGCACACCGTGAAGGGCCCACAGGCCGAGGCTGCTCAGAGAGCAGGCAGTGCCGTCTGTTCAGCACACCATGGACCTGGCTCTCCATGCCGGGAGCTGAGGACACCGTTTCTCCGGAGTAAGCTGCTTGGTCTGGCCTTCCTGTTGCTCCCATGAGCACAGCTCCTTCTGGGGCCCAGTGGCCCGAGCTCACACAAGGCCATCCTGTCTGAGAAGCCAGCTTCTCTCTGGTCTGACAGTAGCCCTGCCTGTGCCTGGAACTACGTGCCTATGTGCGCAGGCATGCCCCCTCATTTTAAACACAGAGGAGACCAAGACCAAGCGGGTTGATCTCCCCGTTGGGTAGAGGGTGCCAGAATCCTACCTCTGGTGCCTGGCACTCAGCTCGCAAGGACACCTGCCATCCTGGATGAACGTGTCCTTAGACCACCACCTACCCAAACACAGAAGAAGGGTTTTAGATGCAAGGAGGGTGTGGTCCCTTGTTATCTTATACCATACAATCGTCACCCTTAAGTTTCCAAGGTCAAAAGATCCCAACAGGATCAGCACCATCAAGGGGACACACACATACCTCGGCGCTTCCGGACGGAAAAGGCCTACCACAACACATGGGACGAGAAAACAGCAGGCATGACTGTAACCCAAAATCAGAGTTCATGTTTCTGTTCTCACTAAGGACTCGTGAGAAAAATCAACCATTAGGAACTGTGATGGACAACCAGGGGCTGGAGACCAGGCAGCGTCCCTTTGCCAGTGTGGGCAGGAGAGAGGAGGCACTAACGCTCTGGCCTGGAGGTTAAGAGCTGAATGACTTGAAAAGATAGGCCTTTGTGTTCCTTGAGACAAAAACCTAGTGAGATGAAGCACTGAACCTTTTTTTTTTTAATTTTTATTTTCAGTACATTAAATTTACTCATAAAAACATTCTAAAAATGTACAATTTTTTCTTTTTAACAAAGTATAATAAAACATAAAAATCCCAAAAACAGAATACTTGACATTTACAATTCAAAATCAAATTAGCAGAATATTAAATATTTACAAAACTATATCTTTTAAAAATATTTATAAAGTTACATGCAATTTTGTAGAATTGACATAAAAGAATGGCTCAAAAATGGGGGAATTTTCCTTCATCCTAAAAAGAAAAACCTGTCTGAAAGAAGCTGGAGAGACTAGAGGACACAGGCCGCGCTCAGTCCCGGGACCACAGCCTTGATCTTGTGCACGTGAGGACTTCACACGCATATCCTTTCAGAGAGACGGGGTAAGGGCTCATTTTAAGACACAGAGTTGTGTCTGAGGACTGTTGGCCTCTGCTCCCCTCCCCCTGTGGACAGTGGAGTGACACTGACCTTGGACCGCCACCAGCACAGTATGTAGTCGTCTAGAGTATTGCCGAGTGTTGATGAAAGATGTTCACGGTGGTTCAGCCTCTTTGGAGCCCATGGCTGTCGGTGGCCCTTGCCTTGGTCTTTGGGAGTCCCCTGCACTGGAGACCAGCCAGCCACTCTTGAGCAGTGGACAGGCGAGTGGAGAGGTGTCTCCCCGCCAATCCCAAGACTCTTCAACAGGCATCGGCACTGGCTGCCAATATGCAAAACTAGCATGGCATAAAATGGTCACCACTGACAGGAGAATGAGGAGGGAAGGCAGGGCAGGAGGGAGGCGCCAAGACTCCAAAGCCATGCTCGCCACAGTCCTGGGTGGGTGGGAGCCCTGTGGACTGGGCTGCCTAGCAAATGGTGTGCTACTGCGCCTTGGGATGTGACGTGGCGTGTGAACTACCTGTTGACTTCCTGCAGTACAGGACCTAGAATCTAACGGTGAATGGGAAGACTGGCCCTACAACTGCTGCACACGAGCCCCCCAGAACGGTGTGTCCTCTCCACCCTGAGTGCCCACTCCCATTTCCTCAGTGCTGCTCAGCAATCAGGAGTCTAACATTTAAACATGCTCCTGTTTCCTATGTTACCATGAAATAGAAATTACAAATAAGGTAGAAAATTGAGTGTTTTGCTTAAAAAACAAAGACTAAATAGTTGTTCTGTCCTGACACTGTTCTACAGTCTATACATCCCACTGTCCCCATTCTTGGAGGTTGAAAAATGAACAAAACAAAACAAAACAAAAACCAGACGAGACCCTCGATACCCACCAGGCTTGCGGGGCACGCGTGTGGGCGGTGGCGCCCCGGCTGCCGTGGCGTCCAAACAGACTGACTGCCTTTCCAAGGACGATGCCGTGTGCACGAGCTGTGCTTTCCGCCGGCTCGGATATTTTCTGATGACCGGAACGCTCCAGGCCTAGCACTCCAGTGGCTTGTCAGAGCTTGTCAGACAATACTGCTGGCAGATGTTAAGTCTGAGTGCGGGACTTGCTCAGCAGATTTCAGACAGCAAACACTTGAATTTTTTTTTCTGTTTCATGGAGCACATACCTGCATCTCACGGGTCTGGACTCTGAACGGCCTCGTTGGAGACATTATGCCACTCTCACACTCACAGAGACAAGGTGCCATCTCTGACATAGAGCCACTACGAGGTCTGAACTTCCTGACCTCGGTCCCAAATGTATTCTTCCAATCAAAGCTGTCGGTTTAACGTGTCGATGAGCCTCGGCTGCTCAACAGAGTAGCTCCGTGAGGGTCACGACCACCACTCTCATGCCCCACTACTGACCACTGCAACAGAAACTTAAATACAACGGCTTTCTTTTGGGGTGAGATAATTTTCAAAAATTTCACTGTGTTGAAATAAGATTTATTTAAAATATCTCTTTGTTTAAAAAAAACAAAAAAATTATACGGTTTGGCTTTCAGCACATATCCAGGCCACTGTGATGACCTTCAGAACAGTAACAGTGCAGATAGCAAGCACCCCCAGTCTCCTTGAACAGAACAGGACAAGCTCCAGTCTAGTACTCTTTAAGGCAAAGTTGTGTCAGTCCTTATTGTTCTGACGTTGTGTAGTTTGTAGAATTCTGCAAGAGCTCAGTGTCCTACTCCCCAAGACAGCTGCTGTCACCAGGACTTCAGCCCATGCGTAATACTGGGTGTCACGAGTGGGATCAGAATGCAGATTCTGTCAGTCCTGCACTGCATAGAAATGAAACACCACGAAAATAAACTCCACAAAACTCTCCTAAAAGCCTCTCATGAGAAGTGAGCAACATTCTGCTTTTTCCATGAAGCCAAGGAACGGATCTTGATCCCTGAGGCCTCACATCACAGTGCCTCCAACTGCAGGGTATTCTTTGATTTGTACCGATTTTGCGTGAGGCTGGCTGGCCCATCTCACAGGGGGTGTGACTATAGTGCTTTTCTTCTTTTTGGAAGTAAGTTTTCAACTGGAAAATCTAGCAAAACCTTACCCATCAATATTTTAATATTGAAGCCTTTAGAATTTTAAATGATACCATTTTAGCAGAAAATTCCCTTTAACCTCGAAGAATTAAGTCCCTAAATTTCACACTAAAAAGCTCTCATCGTTCCAATGGGTTGGAATTTAGCGATTCTGTGACAAGGACTTCCATTTCCTACCTTAACAAAACAAGACTTCTACGAATACCTGAGACCGGTGTGTGTTGCGTGGTCTCTTCCAAAGTCTTACTACTTCCCACTGAAGTTTTCCAGGTAATTTTAACGGAATTAACTAGTAATACGCAGTCTGATACAAAAGAGTTCACAGGAAAACATTTAACTTGTAAGTGATAGGGTTCTCTTACTGTTGCAGTGTGTTATCTGTCTCAAACGTGATGCCCCAAGAGGCAGCCTTGGAAGTGCAAGTCCGTGTTGTAGACAGCAACTTGCACGCTTCGCCAAGGATGTGCTGCGTCCATCAGGGCCGATGCGCCCCAGAGGTGGTGGCTGCTGTGTCTCTGGAAGAGCTTGCCCGTCTGGATGAAAAGAGGACGCACAGCTACTGCAGGGCTGGAAGGGAGGGTTCTCAGAGCCTAGCGACTGGATTCCCTGGGACTTGGACCCTTAGAGATTAAGTTGTTGCGCGTAAACTATGTCTATTGAACAATGTAGTTGAAATTTATTTGCAGGAGAAAAAATAACCTGAAACCGCTACAAGTGTCTGTGGAGGAGGAAGTCATGACATCGGTGTGGTGTCGGAAGTCACGTCGCCTGCTGGTGCCAGCTTGATCCGATGGACCACTGGGCTCTCGTGCCTCCTGCTACATTCTTCTCTAGTGCAACCGTTGACCCTCTCAGAGATTACTGCCCAACCCCTTAGGAAGGACAACAAAAGCAGACGTTTGACCAAGGGTGTCCAGACTCCGACCGCTGAAGCGCCACGTGGAAAACGCCAACCTTCAGTCCTCGGTTCAGGTCGCGTGTAGCTGCCCTGGAGCTGTGCGTGAGCCTAGAGGCCTGTCCTCCTCGGAAGGGGCAGACGTCCCCAACCATGGAGACGCCCGCTAGGCAAGTCCTGACAGCAAGCCCCAAACTTGGGTTTTGGCAATACAGCGGAGTTGGACGCACTCCTAAGCTAGGTTTTCTATCCAGTCTAGGAAAGTAAAGCACCTTTGGATTAAAAATATGAAGCTCAACAGCCACTAGGCTGCTCAGTTTCGTGTTTCATCTTCCTCACGTCTCCATGGCTTAGTAATGTCCTGGTGCCAGGGGAGGAGTCAATCAGTGGGGTCCAGGCTTTCTGCCGGGGGTGCGTATTTCAACCTGAAAGTACCTGGGGAGGAAGGAGAGACCACGTTTGACGTGTGCGCATCCCACGCCTCATCTTGACAGTTATCCTCAAGGCCTGGCTGAGACTCTGGCCCAACACCCTGCCCCTAAAGCTGGACTGACTGTATGAGTTTGTAACATCAAATAAGAGGCCAAGTGACTGCAAAGAAAAGTTCCAACCCCACCTTCTCTCGGAAGCTCCTTCCTGGCACTCCAGTTCTGCAGAGCTAGCTGGTGGCTGCGTTACAAGCCACCACCACGCTGGGTCGGCACGGGTGAGGCCTGGCCATCACCACGGGGGGAGCCCGGGGACAGGCAGTGTTTTGGGACCAGGAATACGCTGTTGTTTGAGAGAGCTCTTCAGTGGGTTAGGACACGCTGGCAGTGACCAGCCTGGTGCCACCCTATGTCAGTCAGTCCCCAGTGCAGAGGCCACGGAGAGGAGCCACGGAGCCGGGACCAACATCCCCGCCGCCAGTGGGATCCTCCTCCCGTGAAACACACAGCAAGTGGGAAGCAGCTCTCAGAGAACACCCCCCAAGCGGACTGCAGGAGACAGGAAGGAGGGCATGAGAAGGGGTGGCAGGACACAGACGGCCTGGGGCAGAGGGGGCGCGGGGAGCTCTGTCTGCTGCTGACAGCCTGCCTGCGCTCCCTGGGCCACACGCAGGGCCGTGAAGACGCGGCAGAACAAACAGGAGCCCCTGTGGGGCCCCACCGTGTAAGGTTCTTGCGCTTTCTCAAAAGGCCTCTGAAACATTTCACCTTTCAGAAGAAGAGTCTTCCCTACTATTTGCAGAGAAACTAAAGCACCGTGTGTCCCCGCTGGCCACGTGGCTTCCTCCCAGCAGGCCGCGGCCCCGGGCCGTTACCTTGCCGGTTGAAGTCCATGGACCGCCCCGGGCCGTTACCTTGCCGGTTGAAGTCCATGGACGGCTGCTTGCAGTCCTGAGCCCTGTGGCCGGTGGCCCCACAGTTGTAACAGGACAGGTTCCCGCTCTTCTTGTGACTGGAGCCGTTGCTGCTGCCCAGCAGCCCTTGGGGCTGGTAGACGCCGGCTGAGCCCGCCATGAAGTTCTGCATCGGGGGCACAGCAAATGTGGACTGCCCGCCCAGCACAGAGTCCGCAGCCAGGCTGCCACTGTACGGGGAGTGGACCACCGGGAAGGCGGTGCCCCCGCTGTACTGCTGGGTGCCTACGTACCCGCTGCTGCACATGGGGCTGAAGGGCAGGAAGGGGAAGGTAAACACGGGTGGCCCTGAAAACGGGTGCTGGAAGTAATTGGCGTAGCTGACCGTTAGGCCACCTGACCCGCAGCTCCCACTACACCCGCAGGACGCGCAGACGATGCAGCCGGGGGGTGGGGGGGCGGGCGGTGGTGGCGGCTGCTGCTGCTGGTGGTGGTGGTGGTGGTTCTGATTGGAAGCGGGAATGTTTCCCGTGGCGCCGCCACCGCCTGGCCCACTGTAGAAACTGTTCTCGGGGAGCGTGGGGCTGGGGCTGGGGGCTGGGCAGCTGGTCAGGTTCGCCATGTGTGCAAACGCAGTGGCTGGGCGGCTGCTGGAGGCGGCGGTGGTGCTGCTGGCACACAGGCTGCCCTGCACCGGGCCCACGGGCACACCGCTCAGGGCAGAGAAGGCACCTTTGGTGTTGGCTGTGTACAGGGCCGTCCGGGGGCTGACGATGGCGGGGGGCACACTGCTGGTGCAGGAAGTCTGCCCGGACGCTGCTCCATCTGCGGGCACCGACGAGGACACCAGCAGCTTGATGGGTGGCCGGGCCACCTGGAAGACGGAGCTGGAGGTGCCCGTGGCGGCTGCACTTGTGTCCACCACCAGGGTGGGTTGTGGGGCTGCTTTCATCACCCGGTCCAGGGCAGAGGCGTGCACGACTTTGGCCCGGGGACCGAAGGAGACGGTAGGGGACAGGGAGCTGCCCTCGGGGACAGCGGCGAGGACCTGCACGGGCTGGTGGGGGGCGGGGGCGGGCAGTACGTCCATCAGCGTGTTCCCAAAGCCCTTGTCCACTTTGGTGCTGCTCCTTGGTCCAGAGACTTTGCCCCTCTCCTCCAGAGACAAGAGTGAGCGCATGGGAGCCGCGAGCAGTTCCACGTCAGCGGCACCTCGCTCTGCTTTGTGCACGGAGCGCAGCAGGCGCATGGGCGCCAGGTGGGAGGCTGCGGGCACTCTCTGCGGGGGCAGGCCATGGTGGCCGGCTGCGCTGGAGCCTGCCTCGTTCTGCACAGGCAGGACCTGGGCTGTGGGGCGGGCCGAGCTCGTGGTGAAGTGGCCCAGCAGCATCACCGGCTTCTCCTTCTCCGAGCCCTCCAGGTGGACCTCGGCACCTGGGGAGGACACACAGCGTCAGCACGCTCCCCACCGGGCCCAGGGCCGGCCCAGCAAGGCGGCGCGGGCTTCCTTACGGCTGTCGTTCTCCTCAGCGCTGTCTGAGCTCTCCTCCCGGGCCTGCACCCCCATCGGGCTGGACGAGGAGCTGGAGTACTCCGAGGAGCTGCCTTCCCGAGGCACCCGGTGAGCAGGCGGCTCTACCTCCACCCGCAGCTCTGCAAAGAGGAGGGCGTCAGGCCACGTGCACACAGCACCAGCAGCACCCCCACCTGCCCACGTCGTGCCGCCCTCGGTCCTTCACAGGCATCGGCTCACTGCTTCCTCTCCAGCTGGAAGGAGACAGTTCCATTCTTCTCAAACTGCAGCCAGGGCTCAGAGATGTCAGAAAATAAGCTAAGTGCCCAGGGTTGCAGCGAGTCACACAGCAACACAGGGTGGCTCCTGTCTGGCGAGTCCGGCATCCCAGGGCTCCCACACCACCGCACTCACACCGTCAGAGCAGCATCCCAGACTCGACACGAGTCACCGTCAGGGCACCAAGAGCAGGCCCGCAACATGAAGACCCCGTGTCAATAGGGCTGAGTGACCCAGGGTCTTCTAGTCAAACAAGACACCTGGAACTCACTGGCTGTACAGCTACCATGACATACATGGTCAGTGACACGTACCGTCCTGTGACGTATGCTGTGATGTGATTCATGTGGTTGATGTGACATGTACCTGCACTGTCGTGTGTCGTTACTGTGACGTCTGGTCACTGTGGCGTGTGCCGTCCTGGGATGTGGTTACTGTGCCACGTGTGGTTACTGTGATGCATGGAGTCACCATGCTGCACGTGTGTGCCGTGTGCCCTCACTGGGATGTGGTTACTGGGACACGGTGCCCTCCCGAGTGAGCAGGCCTCTGACTGCTGGTGTCCCTGGCCTCTTCCAGAGAGGCCGTTTTGTTCTAATGAGAGGGACGAGGACGGTGGTAGCAAGTCCCATAGCTGCCACTTCCTGCCACTGAGAAAGGAGACAGGCAGGAGGCTTGGGGACAGGCCTGCGGGGTGACAAACACATCAGGAACTCTGTGCCCCTGCTGTGGGTAGGACTCAAAAAATAAACACTGCCGTCAAGTTGGCCCCAACTCACAGCGACCCCTCCTTGGGTTTCTGAGGGTATATCCCTATGGAAGTAGATTGCCCAGTCTTCCTTCTGGGGAGTGGCTGGTGGGTTTGAACCACCAGGCTTCTGGTTAGCAGTCACATGCCTTAGGCACTGAGACACCAGAGTCTCGTGTATTTACTCACTTCCTACTCTCTCCCTCTGGCTACAGAAATTACTGGGTCGAATTATTTTGCCTAAATAATGCGGTCCCGTCACTGTCCTCCTTCCCACGGTACCTGTGTCCTCTAGTTTCCTATCGTCAAGATCATAAATGACAATGACAAAAAATACCCGTAAACCATAAAAATAGTCGACACCAAGCGGGTGTGATCTGAGTCCAGTTAATTACCAACAGGCCACAGCGCTGCACTTTGCAAAGGCCAGTGTCCTTGGTGGCACTGCGGCCCCTCACCCACCTGCCGCGTGGTTGCCACGCATGGGCTGCAGGGGTCCCACGTGGCTGGTGGGCGGCACACGCGCCACACCGCTGCTGGTGACTGGAGGTGGGGCTGAAGGGTTCAGGCACCGCTTCTCTGACTTCTCCCTGCGAGACAAGGAAGCATGGGGACAGCGCGTTAGAGCTTCTGTGTAGGAGCCTGCCGGTGGCTCCCCGACGCCGTGTAAACACCCACACTCCCCATCAAGTGACGGCCATCAGGACAGACTCAAAGTGCAGCGTAATCACTTCTGACTATGGTCCCTTCCTATCACACCCAAGACTCATGGGCAGACTTGTAAAAGCCTCCATGGTGACCTGGACAGTAATGTAACACGACACCTGAGTCCTACAGCTGCTCAGCAAACCCGGACCAACATAAACACGGTTCTCGAAACCCTGTCATCCTTACTTTTCCAGCTCCAGTTGAGTCTTCAGCTTTTTCTTTGCTCCCATGGTGAGGGATTCAAATTTATTAAGATCTTCTTCAGTAAGGCTCAGAAACTTCCCAGACAGGAGAGAAAAAGCACAAAGTTAATGAGGGTTCGCAGGACTCGGAACACAGCACCCGGAGGTGACCTGGGAGCGCGGCCCAGCCTGAGGGCATGCAGACCTGCAAGTCGGCCCTGGAAGGCCGCAGGAGCACCGCCTTGCTGACCAACTGCAGGTCATGGGTTCAAAATGTAAGGCGCTCATTCTGGGAACCTCGTGGGTCGGAATCTGGGCATCAGGATAGGCCTCTGGCCACTGGGGACACAGGACAGGTACCCTGCCCCAGTCACAGCCACCTGTTTAGAAGGCATCCCCCACCACTTCACCCCGAACATGGTGATTCTCAGCAACGTGAAAATCACCCGTGTGGCAAGGAAGGGGGGGACCAGAACCCTCACCTGCTGTCAGTGGGGGTCTTCCTCAATAAGCTGAACGTGACATTACCGACTGCCCAGCAACCCCACCGCTGGGGAGATCCCCCAGAACTGAGGGTGGGGCCCCAACCAGCAACCCCACCCCTGGGTATATCATAACCCCCAGACCCCAGGCAGCAACCCCACCGCTGGGTAGATCCCCCTGAACTGAGGGCGTGGCCCCAACCAGCAACCCCACCCCTGGGTATATCATAACCCCCAGACCCCAGGCAGCAACCCCACCGCTGGGTATATCCCTCAGAACTGAGGGTGGGGACCCCAAAAGACCTGTCACCAAGAGTCACTGAAGCATTAGACACGACAGCCAAAAAGTGGAAACAACCCACGTGCCCGTCAACAGATCAATTCACAAATAAAATGGGTACATTCATACACTAAGGAACCCTGGTAGCACAGTGGGTAAGTGCTCAGCTGCTACCTCAAAGACTGGCTGTTTGAACCCACCAGCCATTCTGCATGACAAAAGCCAGGAAATCTGCTCCAGTGAAGATGGCAGCCTTGGAGACCCTGTGGGCAGTTCCACGCTGTCCTCTAGGGGCGCTGGGGGTCAGAATGGACTCCACGGCACCAAAAATGTCACAGTCATACAGTGGGGTGTCGTTCCCCCACAAATAGGAAACCCTGACACACGGAGTTTGAACACAGTACCATAAATGAAGTAACTCTGACACCAAAGGATAAAGCCTGCTGGGTTCCATCCATGTCCCTCCAGACAAAGTACAGAGACAGGTCTGTTAGCGGCTACCAGGGCTAGGGGTGGAATGGCAGGGACTGTGGAAGGGCACTGAGTTTCTGTCTAGGAGGGATGAAGATGGCTGCACAACACGGCACTATCATTAACATCACTGAATTGTACACTCAAAACGTGCCAAGAAACAAAATCCAAAAACTCGATTAATGACCCCAATTTCCGGTCGGATGGAGTCTGCTGAGACCCCCAATACTATGGCTCTGGGATACATTCTGGGCCTGAAATAAAACTCACTCCCAGAGGCTTGCTCTCAGCCCAATAGTAAACAAGATGTACACGCAGACCACTCAACCCAGGGTGACACACCCACATTTTCTATGGAAGTGCGTCCCCCGGAGCAGTTGACCGTGGGGCACCAGAGGGATGACGTTTCCACAGAGGAAATGCAGGACACACAGGAGGGGCATGGGGGGAAGGTTACTGGGCAGGGAGGGGAGGAGACTGGGTTAGGGCTGGGGGTGGTAAGTGGGGAGTGAAACTAAATGTACATGTAATGTTGAATGTAAAACAAACTGCTCTGGAAACCTAAAGCACAATTAAGAAAAACTACAACCACCAAAAATGAGCCCCACAGCACACGCCTTAGTACATATACTTCACCACAGAAAAGGAAAAAGAGGAGAGACGAAAGCCACCTCTCTGCTGGGATGAGCCCTGGCCCTGGCACCTTCCCGAGACCATGAGGCTGCAGGAGTGGCAGCAAAGTAACAAGCATCCAGGCCGAGGGCATGTGAGCTGCAGGCCGGGCCCTGTGCACACAGGCACCATCGTTGTGTGCACGGCCACCCTGAGCACGGTGCGGGAGGAACGCGTGCAGCAGCTACATGCAGAATGCAACAGGGGAGCCACCCACGGGCGAGGCTCACGACCCTCTCATTCCTAGTACGCACCAGCCCGGCACAGAGGATGCACACGTTTGGTGTTCACTATGTAGTTAAAATCCTTGTTTCCGGGTTCAGTTGCAGCTTTTTGGGTAAATGAAATTTTTACAGACAAAAGCCACCCCCTCAGCACCCCTAGCAGGGGAGCCAGAGGTGACAGGAAAGACTGATTTGTGTGACTATCAGAGGCACCATGACTGAGAGATTTCACGATTCTTTAACAGTGAAAACTCCCTGCAGGAAGAAACTGTTTCCCTGAAGGACCGCTGGGAAGACAAACCCATCAAATCCAGTCAGGTCTCTGATGAGAGCAGCCGGAGCAGCCCTGACGTGGGCCCCCTACACACTAACATGGGCCCACCAGGAAGGACACCTGCTAGGACATGAGAAAGCACAGTCCCTGCTACAGGCGCGTGTCTACTGGGTGAAGCTCCCGCAGGGCCCTCTGCTCAGTCCTGCTTCAGGCCCTGCTCTGGCCATGAGAGCCTCCTCAGTGGCCCGCTGCCACCCTTCAGCAGGTCCCTGGGACTTAGGGAGAGGTGGCACGTGCCAGCCCCAGGCTCTCTGCCTTTCCCACCCTTATTTCCTCCATGCTGATTCAGTCCCTTTAGGAGTAAAGCTGGAAGAAGACCGGTGATCCGAGTGGCCAGCCGGCCTCGACCAGGCTGCGTGCCTGCCATCTGCTGTACCTTCTCCATTGTGAGCTGCTTGAAGACGGGGTAGTACTTGTGCAAACGCAATTTCCTGAGCCAATCCAAAATCCCGTTTTGCTCCTGGCTCTGTGGGCTCTGCAGACTGGAAGACATCAAGATGGCGGGCGAGGCCTCCATCTGGGCTCGGTAGGTCAGTGCTGCACTGGTGCCAGCAGTGTGCTGCACGTGGTGCTGGGTGCTGCTCTGGGGGGACGGGATGCCGGCCACTCCACACACGGGCCTGCAAGGACAGCAGACAGGCAGGAGCATGGCGGGCAGGCCCCCGAAGGACACAAGATCCGCATTAGAGATCAGAGAGCCAGCTCTCCACTCACATCACACGAGACCACAGTCCACCCACCAGATGCTGGACACACACAGTCACTTTCTGTGGCTGGCCCTCCCTCCCCAACCATCTTGGCAGCCACCACGTCCACAGGTCTGACACACGTGTGTGTATACATGCATTTGCATGCAGGTACATCAACACGTCGGTGCATGTGTACACATCAACACGTGTGTATGTTCATTTGTACACGTTTCCCTGAGAGTATATGCACACATGCACACATCTGCCACCATCAGGCCTCCGACTGAGATGCCTGATGTCTGCTACTTCTAAAACCCGTGACAGGTCATCCTCCCTGAGGCTAACCCCAACCACCAGGTCCTTAACTTTCAAATTGGCTTTTCCAAAAGGCAGAGCCCTCCCCCTACGTGCACTTTTAACAAGGAACCTGGGAGCTCCCACCCTGTGGTGAAAAGCTTTGGGCACCATCTCCACGCCATTCCTTACACCCTGCTCCCGTGCTCCCACTGAGACCAAGCTGACTTAACTGGGAAACTGACACACAGCCGAAGGGCTGCTCACACAACCAGCTGGCCCCCAAGACGCCTGTCTGAACCCATGAGGGACGCAGCAGGGTTCTCACCTTCCAGAAACGCCCATCATGGTACCTACTTTACCAAGGGCAGGGTTGCCAGGACCTGGAATGAAAACAAGCATGAGAAAGACGTACAGACAGGGCCACCTGGTTGTTGCTGAGCGCATCTCCCAAACTCACTTGGACTCTGAAGCTGTTGGGCGGGAGACGAAGTGCTGAAAAACTTCTTTACGTGGTCATTTTTCAACACATGGGAGGGCAACGCAGCCAAATACCTGCAAGTGAAACACAGCGCTCCCGTCAGCACTGAACGTGTGACGGCAAACTCACTGGGAGAGGAAGTTTAATCTCCACTTAGGAGAAAATGTTTAGAGAAAACCACGGGTGCCACACAGGTGCGCTCTCGCCGCTTCAAGCTGATCCTGCTCTGGTCCACACGGGTTCTCCACTGCTGCCCTCCCGTCACTCTGTCGCTGCATTAATCAAGCAGCCAGAGGGCCTGGCGCAGGCAGCGACTGTAAAATTCACGGTGCTACCGGCAGTGCGCTCACTGCCACGAGTGTCAGGTATGCGGAGGTGGGGACCTGCCCAAGGTGGTGGCCGTCTCCCTGCACATGCAGTGGCCACTACCCATTTGTACCCCACAGCAGCACAAGGGTCCAGAGACACTCTCCCTGTGACACCCTGGCTCCAAAGGGTCTCAGCTCTCAAGTGCAAAGCAGACACGGGAAGCAGACTGGATTTTACAAGTCTGTCACGACGACGTCACCTGCTCGTCCGTTCTCCAAAGCTCCTTTACTTGTAGCCTCCTGATGGCCCAGAGGTTCCCCTAACGGATGAAACCCCCTGAAGGGCCCACCACTGTGTCCCCTCCAGAGCCCCTTGTGTGACTGGGCATCTGGTCCCAGCCCTCCCTGGGGGAGGGGCCAGAGGAGCATCCTCTCCACCCGAGTTACCTCAGGTCCGCTTCCAGATCCACGTGGTTTCGCTCTACGTAGAAGGAGTCTGGGCCAGCTGAGCCGGGAATGAACTTCTCCAGACCTTCCTCAGGGTACAGCTGAGCTAACTGAAAGAGAGAAGATGCAGCGGGATGTGGGAGTGGCGCCACACAAAACCACCGGAGAGCCCCGCTGCAGCCTTACGTCAACCTAGGACCCAAGCTTCAGACAAAGCGCTTGGTACAGCAGAGTGGCAGGTCTCCTGACGCGGCTGCAACGGCTCAGTTAAGGAACAGCTGGGCACGTCCTGCGTGCCGCCATCTCTCAGTGCCACCTACGAACCAGTTAGGGTTCTGTAGCCGTTTAGGAGCAGAAAGCTGCAAAACAACATTGCTCCTGACGGAACATCCCGAAAAATCCAGAAGAGCTCTAAACTCCCTGAGGCCACCAGAGAGCTGAAGGTGCAAGGCCGCCAAGTGAGCATCATCCTGAAGAGGCGGCCGTGCCACCTGGGAGAGCTGGCACCTCTGCGGTGCTCCAGCAGGGAGCCAGCAGGCGGCCGGCGCCTCATAGGCTGAGGGGCCGCAGCAGTGTGTGGCCAGGAGCTCCCCCCGGGCCGTGCGCGCACTCAGCGAGCACTTTCCTACAGGCGAGGCCATGTACAGAGTGCACCCTCTGCGTGGCGCTGGCCCTTCCTGTCATCCGGGCCAAAGCCTTACGCTGCTGGGGTGGGGCAAGGCTGCTCCTGGCCCAGACCACAGGCTCGGGGATGAGGCGTCACAACACCGTCTGCTTCTGGAGAAGGGGACAGACAGCCTCCTGCCACTGGCCTCAGGCAGGCACACCTCTGCCCTGGGGGAGCGACAAGAACCCCTCTGCTGGGGGGGAGGGGCTGCTCAGTGCTCAGTAGAGAGCAGCGACTGCAGGAGGGTGGGGTGCTGAGCAGTGTCCCCAGGCCCAGGCCCGCCAGGCCCGCCAGGGCTGAAGAACCTCTGAAGAAAGGATGTTCCTCCCCCAGCCCCACCCCACGTCTAGCATCAGGTGGCAAGCAAGAGCAGCGTGGCCCAGAGTAGACAGCTCCCCTGTGCCACTGGCCCACAAGGCCCACTGCAAGCCGAGGTGAAGCCAGGGCTCAGAGCAGAAGCGTCCACACACAGGCCCCACAGCGGCCTCTGCTGGAGGGGTGTGAGGCCTGTGGCGCTCAGAGCTAACAGAGCAGAGCCCCGCCTGAGCAGCCTGGCTTGGCACCACCGGAGGGATGCACGGCCGCCTCCAGGCACGCAGACCTCAGCGTCCCTACGCTTGGAAATGTGATGCCTAGCATTCAATCCAGAATCGCAAGACACACACAGAAAACCCACGGGGAAAATACAACCTAGTGTCAGGCGAGAAGGCAATCCTAACCAGACTCAGAGATAACCCAGAGGGTCAAGTATCTGCCTTTCAAATAACTGTGATGAACACTCCAGGGCCTGCTGAGCAACGTGGACAGCTGGCAGGAACGAGGCGACGTGTCAGTGCAGAGATGAGAGTGGATGGTCTAGTCATGTGCAAAAGCTGGGGACAGCACCACACAAAGCATGCTGGTGAACACAGGACACACAGCCACGCACACAGGTTCAGCAGCAGCCGGGCACAGGATGGCAGCCGACACCAAGAGAAGCACAGAAGGCCCCAAACGGACACGGAAGTGAAGCGAGGGAGCAAAGCAGCATCCGAGAACTGTGACAACGTCCGGGTCCAGGATGTGAGTGACCAGCATCCCGGGAGGAGGATGGAGACTGGGCGCAGGAGAAATACGCAGACATCGAGGCCAAGCAGTGCCCACAACCAACCCAAGGCAACACAGCAGACAGCCCAGAAGGGAGAACCCGCAGCAGCAGAGAGACTGCGGAGGGTGAAGGCTCTAGTCAGCAGGCAGGGCCCAGGGAAATGAGAAGCTGGCAGGAAGGAGAGGGGCTCTGTGCTCTGAATGCGCCGCAGGAGGGGGCTGCCCAGGCAGTGTTAGCAGTCCTGGAGGCATGGCCCGGTGGGGTCCTCACAGCCCAGAGCACAGGCTCCCTCCAACAACTCCCCTGCTAAGCCTTACACACGACCCGGCCACAGATCTCCCTCCAGCAGGATTAGATCCCTGACTTGACGCTGCAACTGTTCAACCCACGCTGGAGATGCAACAGCTGTTACTCCAGCCACACAACCCAGGTGACTGTGTAAGGGACACAGCTGGGGCACTGGATGCGGGAGCATGTGAACCCGTGGGTGAGGGCATCATTCCCGAGTGCAGCCCCCCATCAAACAGCATCTGGTGAGCCAATGTAAAAATTAAAGGAGAAACCAGTGGAGGTGGGGCCTGGTGAACCAGGTAGGGGTCTGTATCTCTGTCTAGCCAGCAGCATGTGTCCCCTCGTCCCCCACCCCGACCTCTGCTAAGGAGACTTTGGGCTGAAAAACAAAACTGAAGAACCACCAGCAAGGCTTGCGTGCACGCCACCTCTCACTTTCAGCAACTGGAGGGAGTGGAGGTTGGGGTGTCAGGGCCCGTGTTTGTGACCACACGCCCTGGTACACACTGACCGTGGGCCCCCTGGTGGCGCAGCGTCACCGACCCTGCGCACACTACGCTGGCTGAAGGAAGCGTCCGCTGCAAGGACTTGGCAGGGCGGCCACCCAGCGAGGCAGCAGAGCAGCTTTGGTAAGAGCCCTTAAGTCACCTTACCTTTGACATAAATTCAGTCACTTCAGAGGGAGATTTGGTTACTGATGTTACTGAAGAATCAGACCACAAGACCTTAAAAACAAACAGACAGACAAACCTTAAAAACAGACGCACAGACCGAGCCCACAGCACACGCGGCATTTCTTAGCTGCTGCAGTTTAGGAAGGGAAAGGAGCCTTCACCCCAACTCATTAAAAAGGAACATTCACACAACAAGGCCGCTGACGCCCAACTTCCTGCTGGGTGTGATTCCTCACTGCCACCAAGTCCCACACACACGGGGCTGCAGCTGGCTCCCCAGAGGTCGTGCACGGGGCACTGTCCCTCCAGGGCCTTCCCGTCCCCAGGATGCAGAAGTCAAGGTGCCCATTACGGGTCAGATGCTCTGGACACAGTGACAAACGGGACAAGGCCCTGCCCTCAGCAATCTGACCCAAACCCTGGGCCACCTCCCAGTGGATGGACGGTACCAGGGTAGGATAGCGAGGAGAGGCCGAGGAGCAGGTGGGCAGAGGGAAGCCGGGGGGAGGCGCACAGAGACCTCGTGGGGGAGTCCTCCCCAGCGCGGCACTCAGCTCACCAGCAGCCCCTCACGCGTCTCTCCCCGGGGGCTGTGAGCTCCCTTTTTGTTCCAGGGCCGATCACAGCGCCCACTCTGTCAGGTGCCAAGGGGGTGCGCAGGGGATGTGGGGACAGGGCAGAGGAGACCGACCGGGGATGAGAGGCAGGTGGGGCCTGGCTGCACCATGAAATGTGAACTGGCCTACAGTCCAAGGGGAGCCCTTGGAGGATCCTATGCCAGGAAACAAAGTGGGCAAAGGTATTTTATTACCTAAAAAAAAATAAACCATTCTATTTACAGACTTAAGAGTAATGGGTGGAGACGACATCTGTCCCCAGGCCCCGTCTGCTGAGGCCCCTTCACATGTGCTTCCAGGGGCCTGTCTGCTGAGGCTCACGCACCACTCCCAAGTCAGGGCCGGCCACACTGCACAGTGACCGCTCGCGGGGCTGGAATGGCTCGGCCCTGTCTGCTGAGGTTCACACTCATTGTTCCCAGGGCTCCATCCTTCCTGGGGTCAGGAGCTGCCTGCCACGCCGCAGTGACTGCTCACGGGTACGGACCGGCGTGGCCGTGCCCACTGAGATGCACACTCACCGCTCCAGGGTCAGAAACCGCCTGCCACGCCGCGGTGACTGCTCGCGGGT